GAACAAGGGATGGGGCTTGGAAGAGCCCCGCCCCGGCCGCGCGCGCGCGAGTGCGCGGCGCCCACCTGCCCAAGCTCCTCCGCCCGCCCCGTCCGAGGATTATTCAAGAATGCTCGGCCCGCCTTTGTGAGGATGTCACCGGTTGCCCCCCCCCACCCCCCCACCCCCACCCCCCCAACCCATCCACCCGCCAATACCACCACCACCAACCAAAAAAAAACAACAACACAACACAACACAGGAAAACAAGCGGGCGAGGGTCAATATCACTGTAAACAGACGTGGCTTTCGGCGGGTCGGGTTGCCGACGGTGGGTGGGTACATCGTGGAACACGGGTACACTCTGCGTGCTACTTACTCCAGGAGGAGGCAGAGCAAAACGGTTAAGTCGCGAGTTTGATCCGTCCCGATGCGCATATCTCGAGAGAGAAAAATCTCGCGCGTGGCTGTAGCATCGGCGAAGCGCCAAAACAAACACCTGCTCTCACCACCGCCACCCCCCCCCCCCCCCTCTCCTTGTTTTTCCACTATTCACAGCAGCAGCAGCAGCAGCAGCAGCGCCTACACACCTGACCGCGCTTCTCTGCCTCCCGCTCCAGTATCGGCTGGAGAGGCCCGAGCAGGTTGATGAAGTCCGCTCGCTCCAGCACCAGGCAGTCCACGTAGCCGACCCCGATCACGTTGGCGGCTCTGGGCTCGTTCTTCAGGAGGGCGCGCTCACCGAAGAACTCCGACTTGCCCAGGCGCATGATCTCGCGCTCCTCGCCCGTGCCCGGCACGTTGCATGTGCACCTCACCTGCCATGTGGGTCATTGATCGTCACCACGCTTCTGCTCGGTATATGGGTGTCGTCGGTTTTGCTCATTTTTCGTGCTGTTGCTGTCTTGTTTTTTATTCAAGTTGTGGGGTGTGGTCTGCTTTGTATTTTGTGCTGGTGCTGTCCTTGTTGTTGCTGTAGTTGTGGGTGCTAACACACGGCAGGTAGGCGACTACGAAACACGGACAATCGTTGTTGCACTCGTATGCCCGTCGGACGTGGCATGTGTGCTCGCCATGATACCGTCTGCTGTAGGGGTCAAAACACACCGCCGTGAGCATCAATCATATCATAGCACGACTCGACTCGCCCTACAGCCTCCGGAACCACACCGGCAGCTTCACACCCACAACAATTCAACGAAAGTCGGGTGCAATATGACAGTGGATGATGACCAAGAGGAGGCGTTATGCGTTGCTTTGGTCTCTTCACGCTCATTTCCCTCCGCAAAAAACAAATACAAATACACACGCCTCTCCCTATTTCTCACATATTTCGGCACTTGGGGCTGTTTTCTTGTGGCATCCATCATGACACAAAATAATCTTCTGTGTCTCTGTCTATGCACCTTCGGTATTGAGGTTGATGAACACATTTCCCGACAGGGTCGCTAGATCAAGGACTTGACTATTAGAACACCATTTAACAGCAGGAGGGTCTTTGTTCCTCATTCCTTACCTCCCCGTCG